ATCCACTACAACATCCAGCCATAAAATTTTTCGACTACGACCTTCATTTTTTCTGTAAATGAATCTTCCGCCCACCACTTTTCCGGCTACGACCTTCACTTTTATTGGTTCTATTTTTTCCATCTCATTTTTTTGTTGGGCTAAAAAAAGTTAATTTTAATTGGGCCTAGTTGAATTATCATTTATTTTTGGGTTGAATTTTTAATGTATTTTTTTTTTAAATACTGAATGTATTAACAAAGCTCGGTTTAACCTATTCCTGTTGTGATTTGCAGGGCCAACTATGTCTGACAAAATTTTGCAGGGAAATATAACTGCCCTATTTTAAGACTAATATTCCATAACAGTAACCACTCATACACAATACCAAATATACTCTAAAATTGGGCAAATTTAGGCAAGGACGAAAAATTAAAAGAATTGATTCAAAAAATTAAATAAATAACCAACTACTCTCTCTCATCCTATTTTTCTTCTCCTATTTTACATCTCTCCTACTTCTCTCTTCACGATCTTCTTCTTCTTCTTCCTTTTTCTTCGTCTTTCATGTTTTCTCTTTCATCTTCCCTTTTCTTCTTCTTATTCTTCAAATATTAATACCTAAGAATAAGAAACAAAATAATAATAATAATAATAATAATAATAATAATAATAATAATAGTAAAATTGGTTATATACATACATAAAATTAGATTACCAAAAAGTAACATAAATATATGTTAAATTGAATTAACAACAACAACAACAATAATAAAAAAAGAATGCATACAGACAAAATCATAGTCATGCAAGAAATCAAATGAAACAAAAAACTGGAAAAAAAAAACTTCCACGTAACAACAAAACAACTTGCACGTAACAACAAAACAATGACAAAACAACTGTTGAGCAACATAAAACCAATATAACAATTCAGAATGAAAACCCCTTTGAAGATATTTATAAAGTGCTATTTTCAACTCACAATATTTTTCAAATTATGATGCATACAATAAAGATAATTTTGTAGAAACAAGAGTTGCACTAATTACGTTCTCCCTTCGATTCACCCAAATTTTCAAATTCCAAAACAAGAGATAGAGATCATCAAAGAGCAACCAACATACACGAACGATTGAATGGTAAAGAGTTGCGTACCAAAATTTAACACGCCAGATTCAATTGGTTGGCCGACAATGACGCGACCTGCGGTTTTGGACTAATGGCTCAGGGCAGGTACACCGTCCTCGATGAATTGAACGCGATGGCAAAGAAGTAGAATTGAGAACTACATGCTTTTTTTTTTAAATTTCATATAATGTTTTATTGTTTAAAAAATGAAGCCAAGCCACACATTCAATCCATTCTTACCAACAAACCAAGAAAAAATTGAAGTCACTATTCTTGGAATTTCAACCAACCCACAAAAATTGAAAACATATTAGGTGACATTAAGCATAAAAACTAAAATTGGAATACATTAGATGAAATAAAGCAAAAATAAAAAAAAAATAAAAAAAAGAGAACAAATACAGAGGACATGGAGAAAAATCGGCCAAGAGAAACATAAAAAGGAGAGAGAAGAGGGGAATAAGAAGATGAGGAAAAGGGGGAAGAAAAAGAAGATAGAAAACGTGTAGAAGAAAATAAAGAGAGAGAGAGAAGATAAAGACGAAATAAAGAGAGAGATGGAGAGAAAAGATAATGACGAATAAAAAACCAGGAATAAAAACAGAAAAATAATTACGTCCATTAAAAGAGTTAAAAGGAGTAAATTTGTCTAAATAGTAAACGAGTGCTTTAATGTAAAATGTTTAAGGAGAGAGTTAGGGGGCGTCATTTTTTCAATTTTGCAGCAAAAATGAGGAAAATGATGGCCATTGTATTTGATTTGGGCTTACAACTTTTCAGTTTGGGCCATTGTGTAATATATTTGTTTTTGCTTATTGGGCTATGTTTTGGCATGTAATTTTGTTTGTTGTGGGCTACAACATTTTCAGATTTGGGCTATTGTGTGATATTGTTTTTGTTATTGTGCTAAGTTTGAGCTTCTAACTTTATCTGATTTGGACTATGAATTGATATATTTTGGCTATTGCTTGATTGGGCCAAATTTGTTTGTTAATTGCTTTGGATTAAATTGAATGATGAGTTTGTTTTTGGTATTTGGGTTGATACATAATATTTATTTTCTTGCCTTGGATTTATGCACCTCCACAATTGATATAACAAGGCAAATTACATAGCTACAATTGCTCCAAGTAAAATTTTCATATGTACAACATAATAAGTTTTATCAATTAAGACTTTAGGATATAATTTTCAATATCATGGCAATTGTAACTAGTGCACGAAAATCTTAAGGAGAGACCTCCATATAACTACTGCACGAAAATCTTAAAGGAGAAACAAATTGTTCTTCACTATTGGAGAAGCAACTTAATACTAATTTGAATGTAAAACAACCACCATAAATAAATTTCAAAATTACTCAAATAATACTTCAAAATAATCCAACTCTAATAAAACAATAACACATCATATTAGTACAAATATTTAGGTCCAAATCAAATTACTCATTAGTCGAAATTGCTACTACAAATAGAGAAGAAGTCCAATAATGCAAATTACGTAACAAGTGTCGCAAATAGTCCTAGATTACGAAATATTGCAATGAGACATGCTCCATTCTCCAAATTTTAGTCCTAACTGTCATGAGATGAGCCCTGTTAAAGACAAATAAAAAAAATGAATTTGAATCAATATTCTTTTATCCCCAACAAAATTATATATCATCAAGATCAACCTATTCTTAAACCTGAGGTGTATGTGGAAATGAATATCCGAATAAATTCAATTGACCACCAGTGCCTCCCTACAAAACAAATATTTAATATATAAATACATGTCTTTTCTCATGTGTTCTCAAACTCTTCCTCAGATTCGCAATGAGACATGCACTTATACCATAAATCCTTGAAGGATAAATTACCATTTAAATTCCCTAAGTGTGAAGGTGCATTTTGATTTATATGCCACTGACACAAACGATGATGAGAATTTGGAAAAATATTTTCTATTGCATTCATCATGGCTTGACATTGATCGGAAAATATTATTTGAGGTTGTTTACCATTCATTGAATCAAGAAATGTAGTGAACAACCATTCAAATGAACTTTGAGTTTCATCCGACATAAAAGCCAAGCCAAACAAAACATTATTCCGGTGGTGATTTATGCAAATAAATGGAGCACATATCAAATTATACTTATTTGTTCTATAAGTAGTGTCAATCGACAGAACATCACCAAAGTACTCGTAGTCCACCGCACACCTATAATCCCTGAAGAAAAAATGCATCACCCGATCATCATCATTCAACTGCACATTCCAATAAAAGGAAGGTTCTGCATTTGTCTTGCTTATAAAATGTTGAAGTAATGCACTGGCATCCCCATTTTTAATTTTTGTATGCTTCTTTAATCTCCCAAAATGGTCATATGCATCCTTTCTAATAAAGCCTAAATTTTCAGGCCCATGTGCTTCATTCTCCATGTAAGAAACAACACTAGCAACAGATATTCCAGCATTCACCATTGCTTCTAAAGTTGATTTTTTGGCATGAGAAATGTTACGAGCTGACCTTAGCAAATGAGTTTGGTCTGGAGCAAACATTTCATGATTATGTTCAACAACAAATTTACTCACTTGCCAATCTCCCCCTTTAGGCCTCGTAATCTTAAGTTGTGCTTTACATGAAGTTCTAGTTACCGGCTTTTGATAAATTGGTATTTTTTTACTAGAACGTTTTTCATCTTTTTCACCCGCACAAGAACAACTAAAGCTCTTCGACTGAATTTCACTACTACGGGGAAAACAACGTTGATCTCCTTTTCTAACGCTAAATCCTTTAGCATGTGCATATTGACAATAAAGCAAATAAGCATCTTCAATACTATTCACCATTGTACCCACAGCTAATTTACCCTCCAAAACATCAACCATATTATTTGAAGATTGTACCTCACAATGTGCAATGGGCATAAACTC